GGAGTTCAGACGTGTGCTCTTCCGATCTATCTTAAAGACAAAACTGTAAGATATGCAATTAATAACAGATTTTTGAATGAAATGTCATCTGACAGTTTGCGCTTTATGTATTATGTAAAGACAAAAAATGTTATTATAAAAAAGAAAATATTATTGTACAATGTTATCGCGCAATGTGTTTGCAGAAATATCTATAAAAATAATCTTATATTCACATATGTAATCCTTATATCGATATTAATAAAAGGGACAATAAGTCAGCTTTTGTTTTTAGGAGTTGCCGTACCTGAGCGCGCCAACTTTAGACAATCTGATTAGTTAACTTTAAACACTTATAATTCAAAAACTATTACAGTCTCGACATTTTGGTATTGGAACTTTTGTCTTAAAATGATCTCAGGAATCTACTCTTAAGCGTTAGTCCGGTCATTACGAGACACCCTGTATATGTAGCGATCCGCGTTAGCGGTTCTCCCGAGGGGAGATCGACAGGAGCGGAATGTGAAATAAACTGAGATAGCTAGATGCAGTTTACTTCGTGGTTTTATTACTTAATAAAACAGAATACACGCGCGAATGGAACTTTGCCGTTAGTCAAGGTCTGAAAGTTACGGATCTCGGTGCGCAAACGAGAAAGCTGTTGTCGCTATGCGGACTATTGCAAAGTGCTGCTGGCGGCACTGGCGTTTCTGTTTTTAAGCCCTCCTATCTTCCGGAAGATTCGTACGCTTATTCGGCACTTTTGGCCTGCAAAAGTTGTTTGTCTCGGTTGTTTGTCGGGCAGTGGAATCTTCCCGAAGATAGGGGCGGTAGGTTGTTTGAGCGAACTCAACCGCGTCGCCTTTGAATCTCATAGGGAGATCGGCGCCGCGGTCGAGCCCCGTGATTGGCTGCGTTGCCAACAGACGAGCGCGCCAGATCGGCGAACGCGGGTTATTTGAGCGGCGGTGTCGGCACAAAATCGCGACTGTTTCCGAACATCCCGCCCGCCTCGTCGTGGGGGCGCAGACCCCGCCGACGATTAATTGCGCGAGTGAACACCGTGGGTCGTTCGGTCATCCCGACGATATGTGAGTGGTGGTGGGCAGGCGACCCAGCGCAATGCCGTGGTCCTCGCTACAAGAAGATTGGGCAGCGAGATAACGGTGAGTTTGGTACAAAGACATTAGTAAGCGCGGTTATTCACACTATTTACACGTAGTTCTGTCTGCCGCGGAGGTTTTACGGCGGCGAGGTGACGGGGGGCGCATCGTCGCCGGCGAACGGGAGCGGCACAATCTTGACAGCCGGACGAATGATCCGGCCGGTAGGAGTGCGGACGTCGACCACCCTTACTCTCCCATCGTCACCCGGATGTATATGAACGAAGCGGGCCAAGGGCCAGCGGGACGGTGGCGTGGCCTCACCCCGCAGCAGGCATAGTTGGCCCTCCTTGAGGTTGGCCGTCTCCCTCCACCATTTTGGTCGCGGGGCCAGGGCCTGGAGGTACTCCTGGGACCATCGCTGCCACAGGTGGTCCCTCAGAGCCTGAAGCAGCCCCCACCGACTCAAGCGATTCACAGGCACGTCGATTAGTGACGGCTCAGGGATCGCGTTAAGTGGGCCTCCGATCAGAAAATGGCCGGGTGTCAGGGCGTCCAGGTCTTCAGGGTCGTCAGTCAGGGCCTGCAGCGGACGGGAGTTGAGGCAGCCTTCCACTTCGGCGAGGAACGTAGCCATCTCCTCGTAGGTGAGTTTTGTGTCATTGATTACTTTCCGCAAATGATGCTTTACGGATTTGACGGCAGCTTCCCAGAGGCCACCAAAGTGGGGGGCCGCTGGAGGGTTGAAGTGCCATCGAATTCCGTCAGTCGCCAGGCGCCCGACGATCTGGTGCACTTCCAGCTGGAGGACCGGAAGAGGGCTCGAAGCTGCGAGTCAGTGCCTACAAAATTTGTTCCGCAGTCGCTGTAGACTGCTTGGCAGATCCCTCTTCGTGAGATGAAGCGGCGGAAGGCGACGAGGAATGCATCGGCGGAGTAGTCGCTCACCGGTTCCAGGTGAACGGCCCGAGTACTGAAACAAACAAAGACGGAGACAAAGGCCTTGTAGGCCTTGTGGCCACGCCCCTTTGTCGTCCGTAGGAGGATGGGGCCCGCGAAGTCCACACCAGTATGCAGGAAAGGTCGGCTCAGAGTGACCCGCGGCCTCGGTAGGCTGCCCATCAGCGGCTGCGGCGATTCTGCCCGCCATCGTGCACACCGGATGCATCGGTGAATATAGCGGCGCATCAGCTGTCGCCCGCGCGGGATCCAGAACCGCTGCCTAATCGTCGCCAACGTAACCTGCGTTCCACCATGGAGGGTTCGTCGATGGCATGCATTCAATCAGGTGTGTCAGGTGGGACTCTGTAGGCAGGATCTTCGGATGCCTTTGATCCGCGCTAAGCAAGGCGTGTCTCAGGCGGCCGTTCACGCGCAGAACCCCGTTGCTGTCGATAGTCGGTGTGAGGCGGCGGAGTGCGACACCCCCCTTCCGGCGAGGACATCATCAAGCTCTGTGCGGAACGCCGAGCCCTGTACCACCCGGACCCGACGGTCCAGGGCCAGGTCCAGTTCCTTCGCGGTCAGGGTGCCAGTAGGGGCGCCCTTGGCGTCACGCCGCATTCGCCAGCGGTACATCCAAGCCGTGACGCGCAGCAGACGTGTCAGGGAGGAAAACCATACAAGTTCGTCTGGCTCCTGCTCTCGACCTCTTGGTGCGGCTACGCCCTGTGTGGTCCTCAGCTCTGGAAGCTCCCTAGGCGGAATGGCGGTTGCATCCCGAGGCCATTGAAACTCGTCTCTCCTGAGGAACTCTGGTCCTTGCCACCACAGGGTATGTGATCGCAGCTCGCGAGGAGCCATCCCTCGGGAAGCGCAGTCAGCAGGGTTGTCTTTCCCGGGCATATGATGCCAGCGGGCGTCAGGCGCTGCTCGCTGAATCTCGGTGACTCGATTGACGACGTAGGTCGTCTACTTGGTGGGGTGTCCTTGGATCCATCCAAGCGTCACCGTCGAATCTGTCCTTAGGTGGACGGGAGCGGTCGATAGTCAAGGTGGTGCGCAGGTGAGCGACCAGCTTGGTTAGGAGAGCGGCGGCGCAGAACTCCAAGCGCGGGATCGACACCTGGCGCAGTGGTGTGCGACCTTGGTCTTAGCTAGCACCAAGGACGTGCGGACTTCCTCCTCGTTCGAAGTCCGCAAGTAAACGACCGCCGCGTAAGCGCGCTCGGAGGCATCGGAGAAGCCGTGAAACTCGACGCCGGTCCCTGGGTCGTCGCAATGCATTTATCGAGGCACCTGAACCTCCTCCAACAAGGGGAGTTCTCTCTTCAAGGTTGCCCAGGCGGCAGCCTCCTTATCGCCTAGGAGGGCATCCCAATCCAGATGCTGTAACCAGGTCCGTCTGAATTAGTAATTTCGCGCGTACAGTTACAGGTGCCAGCCAACCCAGGGGGTCGAAGAGTCGAGCCGTGCCGGAGAGCAGCGATTGTTTAGTCGCGGCTCCGGCTGAGGCCCGCCGCACCGTAAGCGAGAAGCAGTCGCGGCCGGGATCCCAGCGCAGGCCCAGCACGGACTGCTCGACGGAGGGTAAGGCGACTTCAGCTGATCTGTGGCTTCTGTGTTCCAGCGGTATGCCTTGAAGCACGGGATCGTGATTCGCCGACCATTTGCGCAGCGGGAAGCCGCCCGCCGAACACAGCCGAGATATCTGCTGCTGGAGGCGGAGAGCCTCGGCCAAAGTAGAGGCACCGGATAGGACATCATCCACGTACGTGTCTCGCTGAAGCGCTCGAGCGCCCAGGGGGAAGCGCTCGCCCTCATCCCCAGCCAACTGGTGGAGCGCGCGGATCGCAAGGTAGCTCGCACACGCAAGACCGTAGGTCACCGTGTTCAGGCGGTACTCACCAACCGTGTCCCCTCCCCACAAGATACGCTGAAGATCGCGGTCATCCGGGTGCACCAGGACCTGCCGATACATCTTCTCAATATCGGTGGTTAACACGTATCGGTGCAGGCGCCAGCGGGTGAGGACAAGGGCAGGCAGCAAGTTCGGCCCCGCGAGCAGCCAGGCATTCAACGAAGTGTTGGAAAGCACCCGGGATGAGCCATTGACGACTACTCGTATCTTCGCGTCACTGCCCTCTCCCCTCATGACGCCATGGTGGGGTAGGTAGCTTACCCGACCAGGCGTTGCTGCTTCAAGAGGAGAGGCGACGGACATGTGGCCCAGCTCGCGGTACTCGAGCATGAACTGCTGATAGCGATTGCGGAAGTCCGGATCACGAGAGAAGCGACGTTCCATCACGCTCAGCAGTCGGGCGGCCGCGCGGCGCGTTGCGGAAAGATCCGGGGCACTCGGCCGGAGAGGAAGGCGCACCTGGTAGCGGCCGGTAGCATCCCGTGAATGCGTGCGGGTAAAGTGCGCCTCGCACTCTTGATCATCGGCGAAAGCGGTAGAGGGGCAAGGGGGGCCTCCTCCTGCTCCCAGAATCGGCGTACCAGGCTGCTCAGCTCGTCCGCGGGCGAGCATTGCAGCGACGTGATGGCGCAGGTCGAGCGTTCGGTACCTGCCGCACCAAGGATGATCCAGCCCAGCTGCGTCTGCTGGGCGATGGGCTCAAGAGGTCCTCCGCGACACAGGCCCGGGAGCATGATGTGCGCGAAGACGTCTGCTCCAAGGAGAAGCTCTACGGCGTCTTGATCAAGGAACTCAGGGTCCGCCAGCTCGAGCCCCTCCAGGTGCGGTCACACGCGCGTGGCCCGCTCGACGGCACCACCGTACTCAGTTAGCCGCGGAAACACGAGGGCGGACGTCTCGAAAGACGTCTGCGCGGTTCGAGACGCGAGCGTGAAGGTGACACGACCGCGCGAGATGCCACTCTGATGACCCCCAATCCCGAAAATCGCGACGGACGTGGGAGTGCGCGGCAGGCGCAGGCGTTGCGCCAATGACTCGGCGATCAGCGACGTCTCGGACCCAGAGTCCACCAGCGCGCGAACGGGATGTCGCACCCCGTGATGGTCGAGCAGGACGACCCGTGCGGTCGCGAGCAGCACTTGAGCGCACTCCACGGGCGGCGGTTTCGCGACGAGCACGGAGGCTGCGGGGCCGGGCCCCGAGGTGGCCGCGACCGATGTTACGAAGGCCTCATGTAGGGACGTGTGATGTCGCGCCGCACACTTACCACAGGTCTTCATGGACGGGCATCCCTCCACCGGATGTCGCCCGAGGCAGTTTCGGCACAGTTGATGGGCATCCACTAGCTCCCGCCGCTCCTGCGGTGTTTTCCTCTTGTACTGCTCACACATCATGACAAAGTGGTTTTGCTTGCAGGCCAGGCAACCATGGCTAGGCTCGGATCCTCGCTTCTTGGCATGGTGCGCGCGGGCGGTGCGAGACGACTTCTCATTTTTTCCGGGGGAGGCAGAGTCCATCTTCACGACCCGGAGCACCTTCTGCGTTATGAGTTGCTCTTGCAGAAAGTCCCGCAACTCCTCATACGACGGCGGGATGGCCGATCGGCCGAGGGCGTTCTCCCATTCACGGTGCATCTTCGTGTCGAGCAACTCGACAACGAGGTGTACAAAGAGGTCCATGCAATCGGCGATCGGGCGGCCTATTCCCTCCAATGCACCCACGGTGCTTACTACGCCGTGAAAGATCCGTCGGAGATCGTCCACGGAGTCCGGCTTCATCTTCGGCAAGGAAATGAATGTAGTGAGGTAAGACCTCACCAGCAACCGCTTATTTTCGAAGTGCTCGGTCAGTGTGGACCAGGCACGGTCGAAATTGTCCTCAGTCGTGGGTAAGTTTCTGATGAGTTGCTCGGCGTCACCCTTAACGCTCGTCTTCAGGTAGCGCAGTTTTTCTACCTTCGACAGGGACGCCTCCAAGGAGACGATGGACTGGAATAGATTCCTAAAGGCCGGCCAGTCCTCGAACTTTCCCGAGAACTGCGGTAGCTGAATCCGAGGTAGCGCTCGGCGCAAGGGCGCCGGCTCCAGTTTAACCAGGCGATTTTCGTCGAGGGAACTTGAGGCGGTCAACGCCTGCTCAATCTCTAGTAACCTGGCTCGTTGATCGATGTAAGTGCTTTCGATCGCGCCAATGTAGTCCTCGACGATGTAGTCGTGCTTTTGGAGCTCGGCTCCGTGCGAGGATAGCAGCGTATCATGCTGCTCTTCCGCCTTCATCCATTTGCCGTCGAGTATTGTCAAGGCTGAGCGAACGAGGGAAGCGGAAAGCTTAGCCGAACCTACCTTTTTTAGGTTCTCGTATGTACGGGCGATGCGCCCGTGTATATCACGCTGTGCGGCGATTAATGATTCCATCTTCGATTGCAGGTCACCGTTCACTACCACACTGGCACGGCAGACGCGGATCAATGCAGCGGTTTTCACGAAGACAAAATCCGGTTCGAAGGACCAGAAATGTAGCGATCCGCATTAGCGGTTCTCCCAAGGGATCGACAGGAGCGGAATGTGAAATAAACTGAGATAACTAGATGCAGTTTACTTCGTGGTTTTATTACTTAATAAAACAGAATACACGCGCGAATGGAACTTTGCCGTTAGTCGAGGTCTGAAAGTTACGGATCTCGGTGCGCAAACGAGAAAGCTGTT